AGAAGGACATTATAGAAGGTGGTGGAATCTTGTGGGAGTTCCTGAGGTCATGGGTATGTGACCCTGAGGGGCTGTGCAGTTTTTTCTTTGYTCCCTGGCCCATGACATGAGCAAGCAGCTGTGCTCCACTACACACCCCTGCCACTGTTGTCCAGCACCTCCACCAGGAGCCTAGAGCAATGGGGTCACTCAATATGCCTGGGACCTCCAAAACTGTGAACTAAATCTTTTCATTTAGACATTAATTTTCTCAGATATTTTGTTATAGTGACATGAAGCTGACTAATATAAAATAGAAATAAAGATAAATACCTCTTATCCCACAATAAAAAAGTTAAAAACATTTATAATTTATATCTCTAAATAATTTAAAGTAATTCAAAATAACTAAGAACATTTTCATTCATTGTTTTTATTTGGGTTTTAGTTTCTAGGAAGGCAATTGCTATAAATTATCTATAAATTCTTACTATACCAGGCATCATGAATACATCTACACAAGACACAGGAAAGGGAAGCAGAGGTGATTCTGCCAGTCCTTTGAGATGGCAACCCCCTCACAAATGTGGAGCACAGGGCCTCGGCAGTGTACTCTCCCTTCTGTAAAGTTCCAATTAAATCAACCAGGAAATACTGAGATACCTGTGTTTCCCCTCTGAAGAGAAGAAAACAATATCCAAGGTAGTCTAATTGAAAACTAGCTAAACCTCTTCAGAAATCCTTCAAATATCAATACCCACTATAGATAATAAAGTAATAAAGTCAAAGTTATGCAATTGAGTAACATAAGAATAACTGTATATGACATGGTTTCTACTTTTTCTTCCATAATTAGGGAATTGCCAGTTAGTCCACTACAGGAACTCAGATCATTTACCTCAATTATTTTCTGAGCTTGAAGTACCTGCCCTGATAAAACAAGCTAATCATACTGCCCCTGCTGAATGATCAGTCTCTTGGGATCAGGTGCATAGCTTGTTTAGGAACAATGAACCCATAGGTCAAACTCATCTCCCCCCTCCACAATTAAGTTACTGTGTTGAATTTAATCCTCAGTCCTACTCAAATGGTACAATAATTAAGAGTAACCAATGAACCTAGACTGAACAATCAGGCTGTGCTTGCTGGTCCAAAGCTGGCCAGGTGGCAGGGTAGATGTGAGTCTATGCTGATTTCTACACAGGCAGGGAGGTCCCCACCTGGTCCTGGGCAAACTCCCTAATTGGGCATGTTACTGCACTCCCACTAGCTCTCCTTTTTTTGAACCCTGATTAAATGATGTGCCATTATATAAAATACAAATATATTTGATGTATTACATGTGCTCCATGAAATATGAAATTTCATGATAATTATAAATAGAGTAAAACAAAAATATTTTTAAGAATCTGAACAGTATTTTGATTTAAGCATTTTTAACACATTCCCTTTTAGGCCAGTAGATGTAGCTGTGAACTAAATTAGGAAATACAAGTACTTTTATCAGGCTGCTCAAAGTCAGCCATTAGATGGCACCTTTTTTTTTTTTTTTTTTTGTGATGGTGGGGGCTGAGTTTATTGCAGATTTAATGCATTTCAGGGAAGCTATACAACAATTATTTGATGCTGGAGTTGGTTTTTACTTACCTACATTTATCTAGAAAGTCCCCTCTTAACGATTTATTGTGCACATGGACCATTTCTGCTCATCGTTTTCTAACCAATACTGTTATCCTTAGGTAGAGAAAAATGCCATTTCCCAAAGAGGAAGTGATAGTGACACAAGTTCATTACTGGACTCAGATCAATCTCATCATCAAAACTCTAAATGCAGGAACTCTCTAAATGTAGAGATGAAATATCCTATATGCTGTCTGTGAGCCTCAGAAAAGGATAGTAAGAATCTTCCAGGGAAGGGAATGGTAAGGCTTAGACAACAGCTTACTGAGGAGATGTTCTTAGCACAGTGTGCGACTCTCGAAAGACCCATTAACGACTTCCAAATGAACACACCAACAAATTAATAAATACTGCTGCCTTTAAAACATGTGCCTCTTGGAAAATATTAGTGGATTCATTTTTCTGTGACATTTCTTAAATAAGCAGATCAAACTGATGTGCCTAGTGACCTGTATGTGGGGAGAGGGTATCTGCATTCCCTCTATTTAGTTAGACAAAGATGCAACAGAAAAGGAATCTGCGTATTCTTGTATTCAGTGGTGCCAGTCAGAAAATATTTTTTCTCCCCAAAATATTTAATTTAGGCAATAATCCTCTTATTAGTACCATAAAACAAAGTTCACATTCTGGAAACTAAAATAGCATAATCTAGCCCATAAAGCCAAATTCTCCAGTGTATAATAACCTAATTTTGTTGGTCTATGAAAATTTAGATTGAATCATTCCATGACTCTTAAAGATYATTCATATTTTCATACCTTAAAATTTTTTATTGAGTTTATAACCAGAGTACTAAACACTGGAAACATCACCCATCAATTCCACTGTCAATGGAAAGTGCTAACAGGCTGGCAGCCACTTAACTTTATTACTAGGTGCAAGCCCCGGGTACATTTCATAGGTAGCCAGAGGAGTTTTATGAACTCCTTTGCAGTAAAAAACTAATAGAAATAARATCTTGCACAATTTTTTAAAAGGTATTACTAGTAAAGTAATATTTTAAAGGAAAATATGTAAAGGCAAAATAAAAAATTCACTCATATGCCCATAATTCACTCACATATTTCTATCTGACATTTTTCCTCCCGGGTACCTTGTTTTAGGTACCCGCTCTCCTATCATACATGGCTATGAGTCCCGTTTTCCATTTACTGTAATATTGTAGGCATTTTTTAATTGCAGATGACAGCTTAAAATAAGATKTTCTCTTCTTTGAGTAAAGAATGGCCAGCCCTAGACCAGACATGGTCAATTATCATGTGGAGAGATGAGGCTCTCACTTACCCAGAAAAACTTGGTGAATTATCAAGAACAACATGGTCAGGTCACAATCAAAACCAAATTCACTACCTGCCTCCCTCCYCTGGCTCCTTTCACTTATTCCTTTATTTCCCATCTTAGCTAATGGAGGTAAAGCTAGAAAACATGCAGATATTGAAGATTTAGAATTCAGTTCAAAACTTGACTCTGTCAGTTATAAGTTGTGTGATCCTGGGCAAGTGAGTTAGGGTCTTGAGCCCTTATTCTTCACTTATAAAATGGGGGATAGTAATGCTATATTATTATTAGGCAGATAAATAGTCTGCTATGTCTAAAATGTTGGTACAATGGATGAAATGAAAAAAATTGAAGTAATAACAATCATCAAAAATCTTCAGTCAGTGGTTTTCAGAATTTTCCAAGTTGTCCCTAATTTATTGTTACAAAGGATGATTAGAAAGCAAAATCACTTTAAAAATAACGGTTGTTCAGACCAGGGAAACTATCATTTGTCCAACAGTGTGTTTTGACTGAAAAGTACAATAATCCCCATGTTTAGTTATGATTAAACTGAATGTGAAAAGCTCAATTATGTTTATAAGGTTGCTTTAGCAAACCACTCCCTGTTGCCCCCCCACAACTCAGTGTCTCCTTCTCTACTGAATTAATCCATCTCCACATAATTCTCCAACTTAAAACCAAAATCTTCTTAACTCCCCCCTCCCCAATCCTTCTGGTTATGACTCCATTTCTTTCTTTTACTTTACAGCAAAACTCAATACTTATCTGTACCTACTGCCTCCAATTTCTCTCCTCTCTTCTCTTTTGAATCTATTCCACTCAGGCTTTCTGCCACCATTTCAACAGTGACCACTATATTGCTACGCTCAAGTCAGTGGTCAGTGTTCTTATGCAACTTCTCACTAGCATGCAACACAGCCTCTTCTTAAAATGTTTTCTTCTCCTGGCATCCCAGCTACTACTCTGGCTCTCCTGGCCTCTTTGGTCAGGAAATCCCTTTTGCTACTTTCTCCTCTCTCCAATCTCTCAACCTTAGGAATGCACAAGAGCTCCCTCCTCAGACCTCTTTGCTTTCTTGCCACCCAGCTGCCTGCCTTCATGAGCTCATCTGGTCTAAAGACTTTAAACATTATCCATCTACTGGTGAGTCTCAAATTTATATCTCTACTTTGAACCTCCCCCTGAATTCCAAACTTCTGTATCTAACTGATTAYTTGATTCTTCGTGTGGCTATCTAACATATCTCAAACCCACAAGTCCCAGACTGAGCCCCTTATGTTATCCCCTAACATTGGTCTCTATCCATTTTGCAGTTGCCCATGCCAAAATCTTGGAGACATTCCCTGATTTCACTTTCTTCTCATATCCCACATCCAATCTACAACAAGACCTTGCTAACTCCAGCTTTGAAATAAATCCAGAACCTCCTTTCATCAACTCCATTACTGCCACCTATTCTAAACTCTCATCAATGCTCATCTGTCATTAAGAGCCTGATACACAGAACTTCCTAGTAGTTGTTTGGAAATTCTGTGGACCCTCTTAACAACAGAAAAGAAAGAAACCAATCTTTTTTAATGGATAGCTTTTTAGCTTAGGATATAAATTTTATAAACACATACAAATACACCCAGACATAAACACACACACATTTAGGCTCTTAGGATTTTTTCCAATAATGTGTAAACAACACAATTAATCATTTAAATAACCCATTTTAAGAATGCTTTAATTATTTTACAAGAATGTTTATACATATGGATGGATGTTAAATAGTATAGAAAGTTGTTCCAATTAACAATTCATTAAAGAAGTAGCCAACATCAATTTACATAGAATGAAYATTAGCTATGAATTAGTCATTACATAATTATAGTTGAAAAACTTAAATTAGTTACTAGTAATGAGAAGTTGCCTAGAAATTGGCAAGAATTTCATTACATTCTTTGCCATTACTTCCCAAGACAGGACCACACTACATGGAAATTCGAACACCAGGAAAATTTAGATAGCAGAAAGTAGAAAAAACAGCCAGATGCCAATCATAAGTAGTTACTTACACTGTGAACTCCTAAAGCTTTCCAGACTGCGAAGCTGATCACACCAACCCCACACCAGGCATAAAGTGAGCCCCAGCCAAGAGCTCTCAAGGCAAGGGAAGACCCGCTCTCTGGTAAGGCAGCTGTAGCCATGCTTCCCTGAAATGAAGACAGAAAGGATTGGGTAAAATGATCAATTCAGAAAGGATAAGTAAGCTGGGAGTGTTTGAAACGAATTTTAGTACTCTATGTAAGCATCTTGATACTAGGAGGCCAGGCCAAACCATGGTCAAATAGCAACTTCACTACTTAGTAAATCAATATCTCTGATTGACAGACATTTCAGCATATAAGACACTGTGCCTGTTAATTCTTCCAGAAAAAAACTCAGAACATTCTCTATTCCCCATTCATTGGCATTTTTATTAGAATAACATTAAAATAATTACCTAATCTGATAACAGCAGATTATAACACCCTTTCGTCTGGAAAGAAATTTCTATTTATTTGTGTCTGCTTCTTTTTCAGAAGAATTTTCTTTATATTGCTCAACCTATTTCTTAGTGCCGCTTTTTCTTATGCATGCTTGGCTAGAGATTGCTAACACTGCTCCAGCACACAGAAAGCCTATTCTTTGTTGATCTGCATCCCTGTACATAGCATCATGACTACATCTAGTAGGTATGCAGTGCTTATTGACTGGCACTTTTTGTAGATATTCCTTAGACCTAACCAGGTCACCAACACATCCTTCTTTAACCATTTTCCACAATACAAACAATATTCTCTCCTTCTCATTCCTTGTCCATATTGCTACAGTTTCAGTGTGGTTCCCTAGACACCACAGATCTCACATAGATGCACTCCCTGGCTTTTAATTGGCCTGATTTTTGCCCAGAATTAACCAAATGTTATTTTACCAGGGTCAGTTTAAGTGCTTTGGCCTAAATATTATTTTAGAAACAAAGATTAAAAAACCATCATTCCCCTGGGAAGGACAGAAATTGGCCTATGCATATATATATTTTAAAGTCTAYATACACCCACATTTGTTTTACTAAATCAAGTAAAAAAGAAACTGCATGAAAATAACTCTTAATGATACAGCAATATTCACATAAAAATCTTAATTTTGCCTTAGACTTTTAAAAAAGCAGGTCATATTTGTGTAATATCAGTCTCATAAATTATAAAATAAAATTAGTTATTATTAGTCATACTACATAAATTATGTTTCTGAAAATGAATTTTCGTGGCAACTTGATGTTAAAAATTAATCTTTGAGTTTTAAAAGTGTAGACCCAAGCTTTTTCCTCTAGGGGAAAATGCCAAATGACATTCACGCACTCCGTTCAAATTTTTCAAAATGAATGTTGACTGACTTGCTTCAGGAAAAGATTAACTTGCCAAAAAGTAACATTGCTTTGAAAGCATTTTCTCTCACTGCCATTTTTTTTTTTTTTTAAATACAAGGTCTTACTAAGTTGCTTGGGGCCTCACTAGGTTGCTAAGGATGACCTTGAACTTGAGATCCTCCTGCCTCAGCCTCCAAGTCTTGGGATTACAGGCACCTGGCTTCATTTTTTTTTTTTTTTTAAGTTAAAACTAAGGCTTTTGTATTTGGAAGTTGAATTTAACAAATCATACTGCAGTTACAGTAAAACACTAAGGAGTATTCCCAAGATAAAACAAAAATTATTTTCTAAGTGAAAACTCAGTATTTATAATACTTCTATGCCTGAACATATGTATATTCCTTATCTTCTAACATTTACCTAGTAGCCTCTGAGAATTAATAATCTATTATTCATACACGTAGGAACTACCAAGAGCAAATTGTCAGAATGCTAACYGCATACTAATGAATAAGTCTACGTTTTAGCTTTTTTTCAATATAATTCTGGGATTTTACATAAATCAAATAGATTTTTAAAAAGAATGTTCAATCTAGTTTAATTTGCCCTATAAAACATTCTTATCTAATATCAAATTTTTATGTTTACGTCACAGAATAACTTAATAATGTATGCAAAATACTTTTAAAAGGTATTTTTTATAATTTTTCAGAAGTTACAGCTATGAGAAAGATGAATGATAACCTGTCCTTTTAATCTACTTGTTACAAAATGGATCTTGAAATAACTCAGTAATGTGATAAAGTTGTTCCATGCTATAACATTTATAAGGCACTGAATTACTTCAGATAAGCAAATTTCATGTTTATGTATACATTAATAGAAATATACACACAAAATTTCACTCATATAACCTTGCAATCTTTTTATGAAACTGATATGTGAAAAGAACCAGTTTTAGAAATAAAGCTTGGTCATTTAAATAGATCAAAGAAGCTCAAGAGTGGACTATCTGGCCACCTTAGATGGCATTTTTCCTGTTTATTCAAAAAATTACAAAGAAAAACAACTGTGCTTACTTAGCCCTTATTATTATTTTCCAGTTTCCAGCTTTCTAGCATGAGACACAGCTAAAAATGAAAATAGGTCACTACGGAGCTGATTATCTGTCTGAAATAGAAGCAGTGTAGGTAGCCCCTAACTGAAAAGTTGGTCATTAAAAAGTCCTTTTGGGTTACAATCCTGTGTTATAATAAATACCTACATTCCCAGGTTAGTGGATAGGAGTTTATGTGAATAACAATATTACTAAGTGGTATGATTTATTCTCCCGAAATAACTGAAGATAGGAAAGTACCATGTCCAGCAAGTTGCTTGATTCACATATGCCTGTTTCTTGCTCTTTAATGGGAACAACACACAGTAACATCAGCTCATAGGGCTGTGTGTTGGTTAAATGGGTAAAGCCTTTAGAATAACAGCTGGCACTTGGTAGGAATTCAATGTTTGGAAAAATAATTATTATAATAATAGAAGACGTCTAGGTGGTGGGTGACCTTTAAGTTCATTGCCTCAGTGAGACTCTTACATTGGTGCTTGCTCAATACAAACTGATTAAACGTGTGCTCCAAAACTTGAGTTCTTCCACAACCCATTTTAACTCTCAGAACGTGGATAAATGGTAATGCTCTGATTCCACTGTTTCCCAGAGGGAAGCAGAACTTACCATCCAGAATGGTGGTTCTCAAACTTTCTAGGTCTCAGGATCTTTTTATACTTGGACCCAAAAGATTTTCAGTTATGTGGGTTATATTTACTAATATTTAATATATTAGAAATCAAAACCAAGAAGTTCTCAAGTTTTATTCATTTTAAAATAGAAGCAAATTTTACATTCTTGCTAATTTTTTAGATGCCTAATCTAATAAAAAAGAGAACTGGATTTTCATGTCTGCTTCATGTTGCAAAAATTTTTTTGTTGTTTTGGTTAAACTATATGAATAAAATCTGGCCTACAGATATGTGGTTGGGAAAGAGAGAAGTAATTTAAAAACTTTCCTTTTTTTATAAAACTTGACAAAACTCCTAATTCAAGGTTAGTTACAATATGGAATCTGAAGTCATGTCAATGAACTTCTTTGTAATTTATTATATTAAAATGTATTAGTCTGTTTTGTACTTTGAATAGACCTTTTATTCCATGAATACATGATTACTCAGAAGATACTGATTTACCAAGTTATATACATATTTCAATTACTGATATGATTTATTAAACAATATATTTTTTAAAACATCTTTAATATCACCATAAAAATTCTCATCAGTAATGTCGCTGAGCACTAAGTAGGGGTTAAGCCCAGGATGGCAGATAAGTTTTCTAAAACCTAATTTTAACTGAAAGTTTGAATTTTAACAGTGGAAACACAGGTTCATATTTTTCACTCTTAGGAAAATGTTTCCATATGCCTACTTCTAAATAACAGTTTGTCAGTTGTTCTTTCAAATAAAAATATTCCATGGGAAAAGTGGCTCATTCAGCTAGCAACTCAATCACACACTGCTTTTCCTAGAGAAAGACATTTTGCCTCAATGTTAAGAAAAACTGTATGAGTATTTCCCATTTCTTTTCACAATTCAAATGTCATGATTTACTAAAACTAAAATTTTTACTGCTTGGACAATAACATTCTTATGTAATGTTTGTTTGTTTTAATTGCAGATGTACTGAAATGAAAAACACAATAATGACTATTAGTATGGTTTTCTGCTACTACGGTGACTATGCCAAGGCACAGCAGTTTCACTGTCCATTACTTCCTTACCATGAGTGCAATTATGTTTGAATAATCATGAAGACAGTTCTGACCTTACAGGCCCACAAAAGGGTTTCAATCACCAGTGTTCTCTGGATCAGTCTGTAAACCACCATCTTAGACCATGAAGGGCATATGTGATGAATAAATCTCAGAACAAAACAGAATGCAAAGTTGTAAATATGTGTAGAATCTCTAGCTTTCATCAGATTCTTAAGTCTGTGAGCTGAGGGTTAACATAAAAACACTTCAGCTTATTATAAATCAACCAAATTCTACTGTTAAAGCACCACTATTAAATTTTACTGTTTTCTGCCACAAGATATATTTCTGCTCTAAAAATATTCAATTACAAAGGGAGAAAATGATCCATAAGGTTCTTAGTGATAATTTGAGTTGTTCCATGTAAGCCCTCAGAGGGAATTTAAATGCTTCAAATTTTTCTCTTGTCATTACAGTGTCGAGAAGAGTTAAGTATGAATGCCCAAGATAAGAGAAAGCAAATCCAAATGGTTTAAGATTTTTTCATGCAACACTCTTCCTCAACAACAGTAATAATTTGGGTGAATATTTAATCTGTGTCCACCTCACTAGACTCTAAGATTCCTGAGTGGCAGAAGTGTTGTTCATTTTTAATCCTTTGCACCTAGTTAGTACAGTGTATGACACATAAAAGGTCCCAAGTAAACATTTGTTTAAGCAATGAAGTACTGAATAAGCCAAAAGGGGTGAGAAGGAAGAGATGGAACAATACAAAGACAAGAATCTACAAGAAAACTCAAAGAAAATTCCTCATCAGTGAAGGAAATGAAGTACACAACACCAAAAAACAACTGTGTCAATCTTGCTAATAAGTTAAGGATATTTTGCTTTAAGAATGTTACAATCATTCAACTAGTTTCTGGGCATCTAAATTATTTTCTAGGGACTGGGGCCACAGCAGTGAATGAACCTCCTGTTTAAAAAGCTGACATATTTCTCACCGACACAAGGATGCGCTTTATTTCAATATTACATCTCTGAAACAGAGATCTTACTGCAGTAAGTATCAAGAGTTTAACTGCCATAAATTTTCTAATAGTACATAAAATATTGGGACCTCTTATACTAATAGTGAGTTACCTAAATTTAAAGTCATGTTGTGACTTATACCAGATAAGCTTTCAAAGTCTTGTTCTGCTAAAATTTAAAAAACCGCGAATCAAGCACTTCTTTTTAAATGAAAATGAAGACCATCAATTAATTTGTAAATTTCTTTAATCCATGTGGTATACTCAGACTTACTTCTTAAAACAATGAGAAAGGACATCAACATTTCCTTTACTTTTTTATATAAAAAGATGCCATTTATTATAAACAATAACAATGCAATGAATGGATCTCAGGGTCACAAACCTTATTGAACCATTCAGGGCTTTTCTTTTTAGCCAATGATAGTGTGGTAACAAATCCAGCCAACATTCCTGCTGCGGCAACAGAACCAAGGAAAATTCCACCTGCCAAGAGTTTGGGGGAGGGGAGATTCAAATTTAAAAAAGAAGAAACAATTAAGTTCAAAACAAATAAGTTTCAGATACTTTTTAAGTTACATTCAAAATTTCTTCTGAAATTCGAGAAATCATGGCTAAGCAGCTGTTGSCAAAGGTAAAGGGCAGCCTCGGGGGAAGTGCGCCCGACCGCACGACCTCGGCTTCCAGGGGTCATTCGGGTGCAGTTCCCTTGCCCTCTCCGCGGGCGGCGGCGTGAAGTTTCTCCCGGGGGTAAAGAGAGCGAGTGTAATTAGAGCAGGAGAAAAGCTGCCGAGGGGATGGGGAAATGCGGCCCGCACGCGAGGAGCGAGSGCGGACCCGCCTCCCGGCTCCGGGCCGCCTCCCGCCGCCCGCGGTTCCCGACCCCGCCAAATCCAGGGGCAAGGCCGCGACGCGGGCTCTGGGCGGGATGGTAGGGGAATGCCCTTGGCGCAGCCAGGCACCGCACCTCCCCACTTCACACCTTTCACCAGGAAAAGCCGATCGTCCGTGGGCGCCCGAGTCTCCAGGTGGGAAGGCTCGCCAGGCCCAGCGCCCGCCGTCTCCATGTCTAAGTCTCCACCACTGCGTACGGCGCCAACGGGGCCCGGGTGGAATCTAGAGCAGGGCGGAGGAGAAARGTTCCGCTGCGGCCTCCCYTGTGCAACCTGAAGACGAGTCCGGMGTACGGTCGCTGTCCCCAGACCCCCTCTTCTCCCGGGCTGGGCGGGAAAGATGCGAGCGCCGCCCGCAGTGTCCCCGGCCCCGCACCGGGGGCGGGGGCGATGTCCTCCAAGGCGGTCTCCCTGGGAGGGTCACTCGCTGACCTTAATCATTATTTTGTCTATTGAAGGAATGCTCAACCCCAACTCTAGGGGGCAGTGAGGGGCCGCAGATGAGCCAGGAGCCGGTCCCACCGGGAGCGAGACCGGAGCTCGGTGTCTGCCACCGTGACCCGTGATCTGGCCCGCGCTAACCCCCCGCGATTCTAAAGAGCAGGCTCCAGTCTTTTCTCTGTACTTTTCTGAGAAATTTCCTGTGGTCGTCCCTTTGATGCGAGGGACAGGATTTACTCCTGGAAGACAGCCACTGCTCGCTCCGTGGGGCTGCGCCTCCTTCCCTCGGATTTGATTGGTCGGCCTACCGCCGAGCGAGGATGCCYGGCAAGATGACTGCGTCAGCGCTGGGACCCAGTGAGGACCGCCGAGGCCCACGCAGGGCCAGCCGCGTGGGCTCCGGGGCGCCCCAGCGCTGCTGCGGAGCGTGGRCAGCTGGCAGACAGGCCTGGTCCTCACAGCCTAGGAGGCGGGGAGCCAAACGGGCTCGGATGGGTACATGGCTCTTGAGAGGACAGGTCTAGTGGTCAGTAGGAAACCTTTTCAGCCGCTCGGAGACTCATGACATCATCTTTCCGTATGAAGCAGCCTGTCTGCCGTTTTTGGTTTTGTTTTTTTTTTCCGGATCACTTTAGGGCGTGGGTTTCTTGAGGATGGGGACGCRGATCTATATTCATTTTTACATTCTCTGGCTCCCAGTTTATTACTTGGCCATGCATAGTAAGTGTATGTCTGATGAATGAGTACATGAATGCATTAAGATTATCATTATGATGATTTTACCAGTTAAATGCATCTACCAACTCAAACATGAGTTCGGGTCCTATACCACTTCTCAGTTGTGTGAAATTGGATTATTTAGTTTCTCTATACCTCAATTTACTCATTTGTTAAATAAATACCTACCTTGGAAGGGTTGCAGTGAGAAGTAAATGTATATAAAGAAATTATCATAGTGCCTGGCACAAACACTCAATAAATGTTCTCTCTAATCGTTGCCACCTTTGATTTCCAATGGCTTTCCCCCCAGAATTGCCTATGGAGATTGTAACAATTACAGATAACCAGCTTCTACCACTGGAGATGATGGCTCTGAAGGTCCCGGATAGGGCAAAGATTAAAAGCTGCATGAAGACTCTAGTGATCAGCCAGGATTGAGAAATACTGCTCTTTTTCTGTGTGGATGAGATCCCACAGAATGTATTTGACCTTTAGATTCTCTGAAAGTARGATTCCAGGGTCTGAAAGGGTCCTTTATCTCTTTGATCCCTCCAATCTAAGTGGTTTTCCTCCACCATGTGTTCCCACCATGATGTCCTGCCTCACTACAGGCCTAAAAGCAACAAGGCCAACCTATTATGGACTAGAACTTCTAAAACCATAAGCCAAAGTAAGCCTTTTCTCTTTTAAAGTTCATTATCTCACGATTTGTTATAGTGATGGAAAGCTGATCAACACAGTCTGGCATTGCCCCAAGTGCTTCTAATACAGTGTCTCATTTAATCTTCTCTTAAAAACTCAGAAAGAACAACTTGCTAGAGCTTATGCAGCTTGCTGTTAAGGGGGTGATGCTAGGATTTAAAAGGAGGCTCTTCCTWATCCACTGGGCCAGTGGTCCTTACACTTGAGCTTGATGACTGGAATCACCCAGGGAGGAAAGTTGGACACAGATTGCTGGTCCCAGTTCCAGAGTTTTCAATTGAGTGGAGCCTGAAAACTCACTTGTCTGGAAGTGCAGGTTCCGTCACTCTCTCCTTCTTTGCTGTCTCCCGGTAGAAGCACAGAAYCTTTTTGTTTTAAGGATTATATTGCTCTTTACTATATGAAACATAAGGGAGATAATGAACCTTCAAATCTAGAGAAGTTGCAGAGTTCTGTGATCCAGAGCCTGTCTGTGTTTTGAGAGCAACTACAAAYCCTGTGGGACCCATCTGCTTTTGTAATGGAGGATGCGGCTTCATTCTAACTCCCTGATCTAAATGACAGCTTTCCTCTTTTCTACTTGCAAGCTTGATTCCCAATACACACGGCACTGAAAAAGTAAAGCAAACCAGTAGCTACTCTTGAGCCTTAGGGTAAGTCATTTGCATTTTGAGGATCCTTTTTGTATACAAACTACAGGAGGGATCAACTGTTTCTTGGAGAGGGTGCATTTGTTGTGGGGGGGGATTGGATTGCAGCCCCCATTCTACACCAAGGCTAGGTACTTGCCTTGAACCAGGTTCTGGGAGATGGTGTTTAGAGTCTCAGAAGCCTTAAACCACAAGGACAGGACCACATTCCAGGCATCCCAAGTTAGAAAACTGAAAGAAAACATTTTTTWAAAAAAGACCTTGTTTCCCAAGGTCTCACATTTCCACAGTGCACACAATTAGGTACTTCAACTGCAATCAGATTAACTGGCCTGCTTCAGGAATTTCAAAATCCCACTTAGACTTGTTCTGTGGGAATGCATAATACAAGTTCTAAACAGGTGACTTGAAAACATTCAGAGCASAGTCTTTGCAAAACAGAGACTTTCGTTCTAAAATAGCAAGACAGAATATTTTCAAGTGTGGAAACCAGAGATTAGAAAATTACAGAGCTTTGGTGCTGCATGCAATKCGGGCAGGACTATCACTTCAAAGTAAGCTTGAGTCCCTTTTAGGAAAATGTAATAGAAATGTCTTGCTGCAGAGAGGAGGCTGCTGGGAAGGCAAGTTTATCAGAGATAGACACTGTTGCTATTTTGGTGTTTGTTTTGAATCAGCTGAAAAGTCCACACCAGACATGCATCTGACCACATTTTTATTTCAAAATTTTTGGTCCCTGTAGATTCTATTTCAAATTTTGACAGCTAGAAATCTATTAGCATTACAGTTCCCAGAATTCTGGTAGCCCTAACTCTAGCTGGTTTCACACACTGTTGGGCTTTTTTTTTTTCCCCATCAATTTTTAAAACATTTCTCTGGAGCTTCACTTACTCTGTGTTTAAAGTATGAGGCTGAATTATTTTTAAAATGCTATAAGGGTCACATATTGGTCAAATCATTCTCACTGCAGCTTGACAAAAATATAGTGCAGAGGTCTTTAAAGTTATTGYCAAATTAAGTGCATGCATAGAAGAAAAAGATCTGCTGGATTTCATGCTCACACAGGTGACCTGGAGGGAAGGGAAAGGTAAGTTTTCTATCTGTATTTCTTCTGTTTTCTGCCKTAATTAGTGAAATGTTAGCCAAAGCAACATTTTCACTTATTTCTGGAATGTCAAAAGCATTTTAACATGAGTCACTTATTACTTTTGTAAGAAGGAAAACAATAAAATACTTCCAAAATATATCACTTTATTTAAAAGACAGACTTTCTGATTGAAATAGAAATGTTATRTAAGGTTTCCAGGGTAATTCATCAATCTCTCCAGCAGGATACCCAGTGACAAGATTCTTGGAAGGTGAGGAAATGAGCAAGAAGCATTACATCATAAGGAGAAAGTCTGTGCCGTCCAGAGAGCCTATGTGCCTTCTGCAGTATGCAGCTGTTGGGCCTCTTGGATTCTTCCCAGATTCTGTGCWGGGTCCCCAGAGCCATAGCTACTTTGGAGTGCACCAAGCTACAATCAATACAGTGCAATATAAATGGTAAGCATGAGAATAATTCCTCTGGGTGAGCTGAAGCTAGGCTTCCAAAGCAGGAGTCTCATTACTCACTTCYGGTATCTCATTACTTATCTTTTAGAATCCTATTCTATAACAGTTACAGGTTGAGTAAGATGTCTGTTTTTATCACAGTAAATAAAAGTTGCTGCTATGCATTATTCCTTTCAATTTTTCTTTATTGTGGAGTGGATCCTTCCTAGGTCTTTCTGCGCTTTTGATTGAATTGTTACTGTTAATGATCATGCAGAAATCTCTTTGAAAGCTGTTATATTTCATAAGCCACTAGGTATTTTCTTGGAAACAAGTGATGCATATAATTTACTTTAACTTCTCTTCTCTCTAGTGAGGATCCAATATGAACATGCATGTTCAAGTATTCTGTGAACTGTCAAGAATCCAGGTGATATTCAATGCTATTATCTACAGTTCTGTGTGCACTACAGTTATAGAAAACTCCTTGAACATTCCTGAAAGTAAACTGTGTTTCCATAACACATTATGATAGACAAGCATGTATGTTACACAAATATTCACTATTAGAGTCAGTGAGACTAGCAACTTATCAAATTCTTATTGKTTTTTTTTAAAGAGAGAGAGAGAGAGAATTTCAATATTTATTTTTCAGTTTTCGGCAGACACAACATCTTTGTTTGTATGTGGTGCTGAGGATTGAACCCCGGGCCTCATGCATGCCAGGCGAGCGCGATACCGCTTGAGCCACATTCCCAGCCCATTATTGGGTTTTTATTATTAATTATCCTCTCCTAATCTAGTGTGTTAAAAATAATAAAATATAAGGTGATTTTAAAATAGCTACTATCACACATATTATGAATGAGGGACTTCGAAAACCATAAAACCTTTCTTGACCAAGAACTWCTGGCTGACTTTAATTTTCCTTCACGTGGTGTGTTCCAGCTGAGCACCTGTCATGGTCTTGGATGCTGGATTTATTCAGGTAAAGTCAAGTCTTTGCTCACTGGAATTCCTAGTTCCTTGACCCTCGATTCTCTAAGTAAGGGAGACTTTCATCAGAACATCTTTTGTGTTAACCTGTGTGTTGACATTCATTCTAACTGTATGTCTTCTACTTTTCCACCTTCATAGCTAGAGTATGATTCATTTCTGGCTTATAAACTCTGCAGTGTCTGAAATTGCTCCTCTGAATATCAACTACTATTGCACATGACGTATTGAGGGCCCCAGAGATTGGGCTTCCCTGGATTGTTGGGGCTTGGAATTCAGAAGAGGCTGTGGGGAAGGGGTTTGGCAATTGAGGCCAGGCATAAAACCCAGGAGCAAGTAGCCAAGTCTGGGGGGTGGGACAGACAAGGGTATAGTTGTGA